TAATTGGAACCATATACACAAAAGTCTGCTCTAAAGCATAGTGCATTTAATAATGTTATTGTGATTGTTTTTATTATTGACAAAGTAAGGGTTAATGCTCTGAGTTGCTGACATTAGATTGTAAACTGTACTGTCCATGCACAGTTGTCCAAATGGCTGCAGTTTACTTATTGATCTTAAGGACATATATAAGAAGACCTGGGGAAGGCAGTAGACTGTCCCACAAGTTTATGCTTGGCAGGTTTATTTTAGTACATTCTAAAACATAGCATCTACAAAGTATATTAAGTGAATAGTAAATGATATTGCATAATCCCCTAAAACCTTGATTCCTATATTAGTTTGGAAAGCAATATAATCTAGTGGTTAAGAGCATGGGCATTGAGTAGATCTCATTTAGAATCTTTCTTCTAAAAAATGTTGACTGTGTGTTTTTTAGTATTTAGATTAACATCTGATATTTAGTGATCTTTACAACAGAAATAATATTTACTTCATAGGTTGTTTTGAGTGTTAAATTAGATTTTCCACACACACCACACACACACACACACACACACACACACACACGTATTATACAGTTGACTTTTGAACAACTTGGGAGCCGGGGGTGCTGACCCCTCAACAGTTGAAAAGTTAACATACAACTTTTGATTTCTCAATAACTTAACTACTAATAGCCTATTGTTTACCTTATTAATAACATAAACAGTTGATTAACACATATTTTGTATGTTACATGTATTATATACTGTATTCTGACAATAAAGTAAGCTAGAAAAAAGAAAATGTTATTAAGAAAATTGTAAGAAAGATAAAACATATTTACATTAGTTAAGTGGAAATGGATTATCATAAAGATTTTCATCTTCATTGTCTTCATCTTGAGTAGACTAAGGAGGAGAAGAAGAAAGAGGAAAGGTTGATCTTACTGTCTCAGGAACGGCAGAGGTAGAAGAAAATCTATATATAAGTGAACCTGTGCAGTTCAAACCTATTTTATTCAAGGGTCAACTGTGCATATAATCTCTTACGGATGCATGTCTGTGAGGTGTGGTCTGTGTGGCGTGTTTGTGTGGTTTGTGTGTACTTGGGTATCAGGGTGCTAAGTTTATAATTATATCTTGATACGTGGTAGCTAATAATATGGAATGTGCTCTTCATAGCAACTCATTAAGGAAGGAATTTTTATTACCCTAGTTTTGCCAGTGAGTAAGTTAAGACTCAGAGGATTTAAGTAATCTTCCACGGATCATGATACAATTAATAGAGGAAACTGCTGAGTTCAGTCAAGGAAAAGAAGCGAAGTGAAGGTTCCAATAAGGAGAGGTAATTGTAGGTTTCATTGTTTGCCATGAATGTTTGAAAAGAATTAATCCTAAGAAAAAGACATTATGTTTCAAGATGAGGTGTCTTTTTTGCAGTTTGAAAATGCCCTTTGTTAAAGAGAAGTAGGAATAGGGTCAAAGAGTGGTCAAAATGGTGGTAGAAGATAGGAACACAGAATTTTTATTAAATGTTTGATAGAAGCGGAATGGAAGAAACTGAGGCTACAGAAAGATCTAGAATAGACTGAGCATGTCTTAAAACTGAAAAGAAGAAAATTTAGATATATAGTCGAGAGTGGCTAATTAGAGGCATGTAGAAAGATATGAAATAAGGTTGAGAGCACAGATGAAAAACCATTTTCTCTGATAGATGAGAGAGAGTAGAGTGGATAAATGTAGAGAGAGGCATATTTTGAAGGTTAAGGAAGGAGAGATGTGGGGAGCCCACTGTGAGATAGGCTCTGGTTGTTCAGTGTTGGTTTGCTTTTTGCACTGGGAGAACTGGGTTGGTCTGGAAGCTTGAGAAAGATGATAGAAGACTTGGTAGCATGTCAGATAGTCAGCAATGAATCTAAAGATTAATGGCAGCTGGGAAAATTAGAACTGGATTTTAGAAGGCCCAATCAGTACTGTTCTGCATATTTCTCCCAAAGTTTGTGTGACATGGAGTGAGAAATGGGGAATAGTGATTTTATAGATAGGGAGTATACACATCAGAGGCTTGAGGGTACCGTAAAGACTGCATTAGGAGGTAGCAAAACTTGGAAGAGAGTTAAATGTTTCAGAAGGTTCTGATGGATTATACAAGGTGCAAGCAGTTAAGTGTTTAGAGATCAAGGTTTAGGCAAAATGTGATAGGTATAGGAAATAAGAACAATTATTAAGACAGTGGGCGCTAGGAATCAAGTTGTCAGATACAATTTCTCAGGGGTGGGGCTGAAATAATGATTCTCAGGGTATATCCAGTGGATGGAGATAAAGGTCTCTCAGTTGAAAAGCATGAAGAAAGGTGAGGTCAAGGGACCAGGAGAGGGGTTGCTTTGGGTTTTGGAAGCCATTTACATAGACAGGAAAATTTCCGGCTGGATACTGAGGGACAAATTATAGAGGAGGCTTTTGGAATGAGAGTCAAAACCTGTGAAGATAAAAGCAGTCCATTTCAGGATGAGGACAGTTTTTAAATTTATCCTCATAGTCCTGCAAGGAGAAAAACTGGAGGCCTTGTAAGAGAGAATCACTATGGTCCTGGTTCCATTATGAGGAAGATAGAATAAAATTAGCTCTTTTCCCATTTAGGAAAAGAAGTACAGCTTGCTGCCAAAATTCATTTAATTTTACATAAACACACTCTTTGAGGCTGAAGTAAATCTGATTTTCAGTGTGAAAATAAAATATAAAAACTGTTCTTGGAGTTATTTCTAAACAGAACTTGTCTCTAATCCTGGGGTAACAGAAATGTATATGATGATCAGTATTTAATAATTTTATTTTCGTTTAGTAAACTTCAAAGTACAGAATAGCACAAAGCAGAATGTCATATTCTGCATAAAAATATTTTATTTCCCTCCAGATCTTCTTGCTATCCTTGACATTGTTTAAGTAGCAAACTTTGCAGTGACCAGCTGGATGCCACCTCCCTAATGTTGGTGGTATGCTCTTGGGGAAATTTCTTCCAGACAGGCAAAGAGGAGTGACATCATCAGAGCATGGACAACCTCAAAGACATGGTCTGTGATGTTTTTCCAGCATTCTTTCAATGAATGTCAGTCTGAAGTTTACATGACTAATTGTGTGCTCAGGATTGTCCTTCCTGAACAGGATGTAGGAGTTCAGCACTGTAATGTTTGGAAGGCAGTGAAAGAATTTCTTATACCAAACATTTGAGCTCAGTTGGATAATAAGTGAGCATCTGATCAGCCAAGTCCACTGCCCCTATATTCTTGTTATCCACGATGACATATGGCTTCTTAGTTTTCTTTCTATTTCTATGTCTACTTCAATCACAGTATCATGGTTGATATGGTTTAGCTCTGTGTTCCTACTCTAATCTCATTTCAAATTGTAGTTCCCCTGTGTTGGAGGACGGGCCTGGTGGGAGGTGATTAAATCAGTGGGGGCAGATTTCTCCTTGTTGTTCTCATGATAATGAATGAGTTCCCCTGTGATCTGATGGTTCCCAAGTATGTGGCACTTCCCCCTTCTCTCTTACTCTCTCTCCAGCTACGATTAGAAGAAGGTAATTGCTTCTCCTTTGCCTTCTGCCATGATTGCAAGTTTTCTGAGGCCTCTCAGTCGTGTTTCCTGTTAAGCCTGCAGAACTGTGAGTCAATGAAACCTCTTTTCTTCATAAATTACCCAGTATTATGTAGATCTTTATAGCAGTGTGAGAATGGACTAGGACAATTGTGGAATGTTGATGGCGTTGTCACCTAATTCTTTTTGGGGTAAATGCTGCAGCCACAACTGCTACCGGCAAGTATTCTCAGGGCAAGCAGGAAGAGGGTTTGCAAAAAAGCATAAAAATGAATATAAAAATTTGAAAGTATTGGGGATTTCTTCCCTTATAGATGTGGGGTATCACAAGGAAGAGCAGGATAACTCCTTAGAGGGTTAGAGAAGGGTGAGGGAATTAAATTGGAACAGGGCCCGTATGAAGAGTTCTTGGGCTAGTTAGCTGGAGAGAAATAGGGAAACCAGCACTGCAGCTGGGCAGAAATTCAGTCATAGAATAGTAACTCTAAGGATGGACTGTTATAATAAGAAAATTAACCATATATTCAGCACTTACCCTGTGCTAGAACTGCACTATGCCTGCTGTGTGCATTATCTCATTTCATACTTAAAACGTCTTGTGAAATAGGAACGGCTATTCTCCCTGCTGTTTAGCTGCAATAATGGGCACTTAGGAGATGCGACCAGCTTAAGGTAAAGGACCAATGCTTTTTAATCACTCTGGTGTGTTACCTTTAAATCTAAACCTACAAGGTAGATTTGTAGACGCTACCTTTTAGGTTTAGGTTTAAATTTAGATTCCTTGGACACTGAAATAATGAAGAGTATAACTGCAGAATCAGAACAGTCAGGAAGAATAGCTAAATATTTGAATGAGCAGCAGAGGGAGCTGAACACGGGTAGAATGTGTGACGTTTTCACCTGTGAGGATCATCTAGAAAGATGGGTGCATTCCAGTGGGGAGAGAGGAAGACTGAAAGCCAGGTGCCAAGGGTTCCTGTCCTGTTCCTCATCCCCATCTATCTATCTAGGTAGGAAATCCTGTGACATTCCCTTCCCCAATGTGAGCTTTCTACTTCCCCTACATCTAGTGAGATTAGCCAAGATTGGTAGTTCACATTTTTGAGTTAAAAAGCCATCCCTAGTACACTAATATATACAATAAATAAGGCTGAGGAGTGACGGGCGGGTGGGAAGGAGAGGCTAGAACTTTATTAATTGATTCTGGTTTTGCCTCCCCACTGCTGCACCAGCATCTCTCACTTACCCTACCAGGATGCCTTTCTTCTTGACATCCAGCAAAGAAAGCACCCAACACTCTCAAGGAATCTTTTGACAGTTTAAAAATCACTGGCCTAGATTTGTCTCTTCTTGCCCTGTGTGAGCCCTTCACATCCCAACTCTTTTCTTTTTTCTTTTTCAAGATGGTCCCAACTGTGATCATGTCCTTATGCCCACTGCAGGCACGATGACCTAGGCCTCTGGATATTTGCATTTTGACTTTGTATCTGGTAAGATTTTGTTCCCTGTATCTCATGAGAGCAGGAAGTGAGCACATCCAGGAATCTTATGCTTTGAATGCCTTTCATTATTTCTGGGCCATTGAGGCTAAATAGCTCCAATCATGGAATAAGGTAATTTGGATGAACAAAATAACTAATTTTTTTTCTTTGTGTTGCTCCTAGGGGCCCTCACAGTATCTGGACGAAGACTCTTTACATACATACACACACATTTGTAGGGAACCAGCCCCACATCACACCTGTGGGTACCCCACGTTCAGTGGGACAAAGGAATGAGAAAAAGACAGATTAAGAGAGAAAGTGAGACCAGGGGGCCATCACTTTATCACTTTGGAGGAGACAGTGAAGGCCCCAAGCTCTGATCATCCACACAATTTATTGATTACAATCACTTTTATCTATAGGGTAGGGGTGGAGTGATGATGAAGTGAATCAGTGAACTGGAAGTGAATCAGTGAGCTGGACTGGTGTGTCATCCTAAGGATTGATAACAGTGGTGGTTTGGGAGTTTCACAAACCAGTAACATGTGATTATGTTTAGCTTATTATCTATGTGCAGCTGGTGGAATGGACCTTACAAGGAGCCTGCAAGTCTGGCTATGTCATAGTGCTATGAAGGGGTTTCATGTCCTTAAGCACATTGTTTATGGTAACAGAGCCGAGGTCACCCTACACCAGAACATGAAGCACGGAGAGGCCTTCCTCCTCAGAGGCCTCCTGTGGCCTTCTGCAGTTTGTTGTTCCTTGTTTATGTGTTACTCATAACCAATTTATGTAGGCATTCTGTAAGTCCTTTCTCCTTTGCTGCTTTTCCCAACACACATGCACACACACACACACACACACACACACGCACACACACACACACATACAGCCCCAATTGGTAAAAATTATGTTTACTAGGAAGGAGCGAAGCAAGATGGCAGAGTAGGATTCTCCAGTGATTGTCCCCCTATAAGAAACATTGATTTGCAACAATTATCCATACAGGAAGAATCTTCATAAGAGCTAAAGAAATCAGGTAAGAGTACCTAGTTTAAAAATAATAAGAAGAAAATATATATTGAAGAGGGTAGAAAAGACAGTTTTATATTACCCACATCCCCTTCCTCTAACCCCAGGCAGGACAGCTTGGAGAGGGAGAGATACTTGCTTGGGAGAAGGCCAAGGAAGCAAGTGTAGGACATTGCCTATAGCAGTAGAAGGCTGTTTTGTACAGATTAAAAATTTATTGGATAGTGTAGCCACCTTCATCAATTATCTAAGGCAAATCTTTAGGATAACTGGTTGCAGCTTCTTCATCAACACTTCATTTTGCACGTTTATGCTATAGAAATGACTTATTTCCTTAATGAATACCCTCTGCTCTCATCTAATTTTTCTTCTGCAGCTTTCTATCTCTCTTACCCTTCACAGAATTGGGGAGGGATAACATGGGGAGAAATGCCAGATATAGGTGATGGGCATGGAGGCAGCAAACCATATTGCTATGTATGTACCTATGCAACAATCTTGCATGTTCTTCACATGTACCCCAAAACCTTAAACGCAATTTATATATATATATATATATATATATATATATATATGTAATTTTTTTAAAAAAAGGAATTAAAGATAATTAAGGCCTTGCTCTTGACTAGGCTTTGATGCAAGGAAATTTTGTAGCTGGTTTGATTTTCTATTCAGACCACTCTGAATAGTTTACGTCAGCAATGAGTCCGTTTTGTTTTCTTTTTCGTGTGTTCATTGGAGTAGCACTTTTAATTTCCTTCAAGAACTTTTTCTTTGCATCCACAGCTATCCTTCCCCTACCCCCACATCCCGATAGTCCCCAGTGTGTGATATTCCCCTCCCTGTGTCCATGTGTTCTCATTGTTCAGCTCCCACTTATGAGTGAGGACATGTGGTGTTTGGTTTTCTGTTCTTGTGTTAGTTTGCTGCGAATGACACTTTCCAGCTTCATCCATGTCACTGCAAAGGACATGAACTCATTCTTTTATATGGCTGCATAGTATTCTGTGGTGTATATGTGAAGAAAACCTAGGCAATATCATTCAGGACATAGGCGTGGGCAAAGACTTCATGACTAAAACACCAAAAACAGTGGCAACAAAAGCCAAGATTGACAAATGGGATCTAATTAAACTAAAGAGTTTCTGCACAGCAAAAGAAACTATCATCAGAATGAGCAGGCAGTCTACACAATGAAAGAAAAATTTTGCAATCTATCCATCTTACAGAAGGCTAATATTCATAGTCTACAAAGAACTTAAACAAATTTACAAGAAAAAAACAAACCCTGCAAAAAGTGGGCAAATGATATGAACAGACACTTCTCAAATGACCACAATGAGATACCATCTCATACCAGTTAGAATGGTGATCTTTAAAAAGTCAGGAAACAGCAAAGGCCAGAGAGGATGTGGATAAATATGAACACTTTCACACTGTTGGTGGGAATGTAAATTAGTTCAATCACTGGGGGAGGTAGCGTGGCGATTCCTCAAGGATCTGGAACCAGAAATACCATCTGACCCAGCAATCCCATTACTGGGTATACACCCAAAGGATTATAAATCATTCTACTATGAAGACATATGCGCATGTATGTTTACTGCAGCATTGTCCACAATAGCAAAGACTTGGAACCAACCCAAATGCCCATCAATGATAGTTGACATGCCTTCCTTACTAAGTTTAATCGTTTCTAGCTTTTGATTTAAAATGAGAGACTGCAACTCTTGTTTTCACTTGAACACTTAGAGAGCATCGTAGGGTTTTCAGCTGGGCTAATTTTAATATTGTTCTGTCTCAGGGAAAAGGAGACCCAAGGAGAGGGAGAGTGATGGGGAAATAGCTACTCAGTGGGGCAGTTGGAACAATACTTAATTGATAAATACATCAATTAAGTTCACTCTTATATATCATGGTTCATGGCACTCCAAAACAATAAAATAGCAGTATCAAAGATCACTGATTACCATAGCACATATAATAATAATGAAAAAGTTTGCAATTTCATGAAAATTACCAAAACGTGAAACAGAGACACAAAATGATCACATTCTATTGGGAAAATGGTGCCAGTAGACTTTCTTGACACAGGATTGCCGCAAACCTTCAATTCTTAAAAAGCACAATATCTGCAAAGCACAATGAAATGAAATGCAGCAAAATGAGGTATTTCTGTAGTGTCAAAGACTCTCTGCTAGACCAAACCTAGTCAGGCTCCTTTGAGTTGTCTTCTCACCTAGGCCTAGAAAATCTGCAGACTCTCAACACCTAAAATTTTGTTTACTCCTCCCCATATTTACTGAAATGCACTAAGAGATCTGAACAAACCCTAGCATGGTTTCCAACAGCTCAAGGTCACATGCCTAGGATGACTCCAGCCTTCCATAAAATGCTGGCCTACAAAAGCTTAACATTGCCGGGAGAATGTACTTTGTTCCAGCCAAAACCTGGTGATGGACAGATAGACCCCTAAAACCCCTCTTAGTTAAGCAGTTACTTTAGAAAGCTTGCAATTACAAATCCTTTCTTTTCCATTTAAAATATAAACTCAAAAGTATTTCCTCAAGGACCTGAGTACTGTCTCTGAACTGCAAGCCTTTATGGAGATACCACTCCATCTTGTTCTCAGCCCCCATGACAGGATAAGGACCTCACTGAAGTGGGAGCCTCACTTTATCTTGCATCCACTCCTGTCATAAAAAAGATGTTTGTTTCTTCTTGGGATAAACACCATTTAACAAACCCGACTAACTCCTCCTCTTGCCCTGATCTTTATGAACTTTGACTTCCCTGACTGCTCAAGCCCCTATCTTTCTCTACTCTCTATACCCCATCTTCTTAAAACACTCAGTCACTTCTGTACAAATCAAAGTTGAGTTTGGTTTAGACTAGGCTATTTAGACAAAATTTACCCTGGCCACTTGAATAGTGTCAAGCTTTGTTTAGCTTTGACAATGTTTTATTAGTAACTTCTAAGTGAGAGAAATACAAAATAAAATTTGGGCACCCTTGGAAATATTAGATGTGCTATTGGCAAAGTTCAAGCAGTGGATCACAATCAGGACTTAAAAGACTCCATGGAAGCTGAATGTATTTAAGATTATTAGAATGGCCAGGTAGGAGTGTCAGTAGAAGCCTCCCTGGATACAGTAATTCTCTCTGTGATGGTTACATTCACTTTGAAAAAATTTGTCCTTTCATGGCATTCTCTCCCACCTGCACCAAAGCATCATATTCTGCCTTGAAACAGAGATTTTTCCTATGAGCTTTCTTTGTATAGGTGATATTATACTAAGAGGATACATTAATGGTAGTGAAATTTCTGGATCAAAGTATCCATATATCTAGAAATGTTATATCTAGACTAAAGTTTCAGAGTTATAATTGAAAGACAGTCATTAGAGTACCTACAGATTCCCTTAAATTTTATGCACAATATGAAGTATATGTGAATGTATGTATAATTTTCTGTCCTTTGATTAGAATCTCAAAAGGGTTTCTCTTTAATCTCAGAACATGTCCTAGACTTTAAGATCCTGAGAATAGGGTTGTATATAATGTTAGGTTTTGAAGGGAAGGCAAGAGTTAAAGACAGAGACAGAGTTGGTGGCTCTGCAGCAATGCAGTTTTATTGCTGGTGCAACCTGTAGAAGTTGGGGACCAGCTTAATGCCAGAGCCCACTGCTGCTTACAAGCTGGGGTAATTTATAGGTCTGAGTGGGAGGGGTCTAGGCAGTATGGCTTGCTGCCTGGGAGGATATTGATAAGGTGTTTCTATGATCAGGTGGTTTGGCCCTTTTTCTGGCGGGATGTGATTAGGATGTTCCTTGGACTTTTGCCCAGCAGGATATAAGAGGGGTGTTCCTTTAGCAGGGAATGAAAAAGATGCTCCTGTGCTTTGTGGTCAGGTGGCTAGGCAGGGTGTTTCTCATGGCCTGAACCCCCATGCAATGTTTCACTCTGACCAAGGTCTGCAAAATGGAGTGGAGACTTACAAAATGATGCAGTTTGGACTAACATATAACTTTCTCTAATACAGGACCATGCACATAAATGTTAATAAGGGGCAGGGAAAACAGCTTTGCAAATATAGTATTGGGGACAGATTTTTTTCTTCAATAAGACAATGTACCTGGAGACTTTTTATATACTTTTCTCCCTCTTATGGGGTCTTACTATTTCTTCTTACCCTAAATTTTCTTGTCAACCTTGTCAATTTCTTGTCAAATGTCCTCTCAACATTCTGA